TTAAATTTCTGTGTTTACGTGATCGGTTTTAGCATCCGAACATGATGCACAGCTATAATATCCTCCTTCTGAAAACAAACCTTCTGAAAGTCCTCACTACTCTTTGGCTGTGTTATGTTGCTTGAGCTCCTTTTCTTCATTTATAACATAGACTTTGGGAGCTAAGGGATTAGTCTCATTAGATAATTGAATGTTCTTTCTGGCTCTACCAATCAGTGATTAGACCAAATGTTTATTTTCTGATTTCAGCTACTCACAACATTAAATAAGCTACTTTCAGATTCTTCATGTCTCCAATATCCTCTTGAGAATCATTTTCTCATGACTCAGAAATTCTTTTAGGCATAGAAACGACTGTGCTTAGTGGGTCAACAGGAACATGGGTTTTTCTAACAAGGTGTTTACAAAACAGGCCGCCTTGTCCGGGCCGGCGACTTTGATCTGGTTCTTTCTATCTGTTCTTGGAAGTGGTCCAAATTAACACCCCAGTATCCTAAGATCTCACTTCCTCTCCAAATGAAAAGAATCTGGGAAAAGAAAAATGAACTGGTCTCTGGGCGAAGGAGTGCCCGCACTTAAACCGAGCCCCTCCCGGTGTTCGAAGAATCTCAAAGTCCCCTGCAGACCTTGTTGTTCCTACAGTCCTCCTCAGTCGGGGTCTGGAAGCAGTAGCCTGAAGCAGCGAAGCCCAGCTCAAAGCCAGTATCTTCCCCTTACGGTGGGGAGCCACGGAGCTCCCTCAGAGAGCACAGTGCCTTTGCTCCCCCCACATCCCTTCCATAGTTGGGCGAAATGGCTTCCAAGCCCATATAACGTCCTATAATTTGATGTGTTCTTTCCCTGAACAAAAGGGGAGAGGATCCCAGTCCTCACCAAGATGTCCCCCCCCACTGGAAACGGACAAGGAGGCCCTGGCTTGTACATCCGTTTCTCGAAAGTCTTCAGGGAAACTCTTCCTTCCTGCTCTGCTGGGGTCGCGTCAGTGACACGGAGTTTCCAGGCGTGCAAGGCGGGTAACGCATCTCCAGCTACAATCGTTTACGGCCCAGAAGCGGAGCCTGCCTGCCTGCCTGCCTGCTTGACGTCGATTACCTGGCCATCCTCAGTAGAGCCGAACTTATTTTTGGCTCCGACAATCACACCTGCATTCTAGAACCGCTTCCGTTGGCCCCTCCACACCCCGCTAGCATGAGACTGGCATGTCCTCGCTCGAGGTCACGTCCGGTCACCGCTTCACTGTCTCTCCTCTTACTTCTTCAGATGCTGTCTCCAATTTTCCTTCTAAAACACCATTTCATCTCTTTCTGAAAACCCATCAAGGCCTGGGACACACTTCCAACTCTTTAGCGAGGCCACGAGGCCCCTCACTACCTGCTCACCTCCAGCCCAACACTGGAGTGCCCTGATATGTTGCGAACCATCCACCCTCTTGAGCCTCCGGGCTTGCTCTCTGTCTACACTGCGGAGCTCCCTCCAGCCTACAGGGCCTGCCTGGGTGTGAGCTGCCCCAGGCCTCTTCTCTGCCCAACGGTCCTCTCTGGGGACAGCGCTCAGCCCAGGGCATCTTGTGCACATGCACCTGTTCCCCTCTGCTGGATGGGGGGCCTGGAGGGGAGATCCTGGGACGTTGGGGTTTGGAGCGCAGTGGTTACTGAAGGAATATAATGTTTGACTTCTAGAGTGGGCATTCCAAAGTTTCAGGAACTGGAAGGCAGTTCCTCTTACGGCAGGCATAAGGCTTGGGCGGGAAGGGAAGGACTATGAGGGACAAGGAAAGAAGGGGGGAGAGGAAGAAGTGATTGAAGAGGAAGGTGAGGAAGAGAGAGGATGACTCCTCAGGGACCACCCACAGACCTAACGGTGCTCTTGGGCAGGGGGCTCACACGGATCTTTCATTTGGGGGATATTGTGGCAGAACAAAGAACCCCCCCCCCCAACAGCCTCCAAGCTCACCTTCTTCTGCTTGCTGACAAATCAAGCATCTCTTGCATGTGTGGTGAGGTGAAGAGCTTTCGTGAGGCTAACTCTAGTTTTTATGTGACTATAAGCAAAGATTAAAAAAAAAATCCCCATGATCATGAAGCTGGCATTTTAGTTTTTAGTTTTTATTTCTTTTTTTTTAAACATGTTTATTTATTTTTGAGAGAGAGAGAGAGAGGAGAGAGAGAATCCCAAGCAGGCTCTGAGCTGCCGGCACAGAGCCTGATGCAGGGCTTGAACTCGTGAACTGTGAGATCATGACCTGAGTCGAAGTCAGACCCTCCACCGACTCAGCCACCCAGGCGCCCCTGAAGCTAGCGTTTGAGTGAGGAGGTAGAATAAACAGGGCAAATCAGTTAACTGGAAATAGTCCAGGTAGGAAGATTAAGTAAGGCCAGGGACAGGAAGTGTGTTCAAGTTTTAGGCAGGGTGGCCCCTAGAGGTTCCCGAGGATGCCCGGGTACAGGTGAGGAGGGGAAGAGAATGAGCCTAGTTAGGATTCAGCAGCAGAAGGGTCCAGAGAGGGATCGGCATGTGTGCACCTCTCCACGTGGGTGCCAGAAAAGGCCTGGGGGGCTGGGGACCACGGAGCTGGGAGGCAAGAGGCACAAGCCCTGACGGCCGGGGATGGGGGGTAAGGGGGGCAGGACTGGCAGATCATTATGAGGACCTCGCTTCCTCGGGCCTGGAGGGACTTTTCCTAGAGAAGGAACATGGTTTGGAACTCTACGGGAAAGACAGCAGCGACCGACAGGAGGTGAGATTGGAGGAGCGTCAGCGGGGAGGTAGCGACTTGGCATCCGGGCATATGTAGAGGTAGAGGGCACAGAATTTGCTGGTGGATGGAACGTGAGGGAAGGAGAACACAGGAGTCTTTGTTACTGCAGCGTTTTCGGCCTCAGGGCAGCAGAAAGGTTGAAACGTTCGTTCATTTACCGACGTGGGAAAAACCGCAGGACAAGCAGGTTTGGGGCGAAGGTAACATCCGGAACCTAGTTACAGCCCTGTTAGGTGTGCCTTCCGGGCACCCAGGCGGAGGTGTCACTTAGACTGGGGGTCCAGCCTCATCTTCTGGGTTCAGATAGGACTGGACTGGGAGGGCTGAGTGAGAGCGGCAGGGCTGGAGGCGTGGGACATGATAAGGGGCCGTGGGCCAGTCCTACAGCCTTCCAACATACAGCCTATATGTCCTTCCAACAGTAGGAAGCTGGGCAGATACAGCTTCAACAGATGCGACCCCAGGGGACGGCCAGTAAGGGAGGAGGCAGTCCCGGGAGTGTGGTGTCCTGAAGGCCGAGGGAAGGACGTGTCGATGCGAGGGAAGCGTGAACTCTGCCCAGTGTGGTTAGCAAGTCAGACGAGGTGAGGACTGAAAATTCGCCTTTGTCCGGAGCGGCGCAGGCTGGCAGGTGGCCGGGGGAACAGCAGAGTTTCTCTGAGTAGTTGAGGCAGATGTCTTAAGACAGTGTTCCTGGGGCTGGTTCGAGAGCAGGTGGGAGGTGAGAAGCCAGAGCCAGTCCAGGGCACGGGCTGGGTGCTGTTGGTTGTGAACAGGAGAGAGGCTGGGTGGGGTGAGGGAGAAGAGGGGCTACGGATGGTCGTCTTCCTGCAGGAGAGCCCAGGGCGTGTGTGTGTGTGTGTGTGTGTGTGTGTGTGTGTGTGTGTGTTGGAGAGCAAACTGCACATGATTTGGGATTAGGCCATGCCGAGGGGGACGGTGAAGGCATTTCCTCTACTGGAAGAGGGGCTGGGGTGCAGTGCCCAAGTGGAAGGGTGACTGTGTACTGGGCAGGATCACCCGGGAGGAGCCTTCTCCCACAGGCTGGGCCACCGCTGGCTGGGAAGGTCTCTGCAGACGCCACACTCTTGGTTGCCTGCTGTCCCCAGGCCCAGCTCGGGGGTCTTGGGGAAGCAAAGGGGTTCGGGTTCACTTTGGCCACGTTTGTGGAAGCCTTTGCGAGCGCAGGTGAGGCTCCTGTGGTGTGCAGGGCGCCTCGGAACTCAATCTTTGGTGTTCCTGGGTGAGAAGCCCGGGGCGGTGCCCAGCGAGGGGGTGGGGGTGGGTGCGCTCCCCTGGGCGGGCCTGGGCCCAGCCATCAGGCCCCCTCCGGCAACTGCGCGTGGGGGGCGTAAGCCCACGGATTCCCTTGAGCGGGGTTTTGGCCGCGGAACCGCCCCTTGGGGCGCCCCCCACCCCGCACCCCCACCCAGGCGCGCGCACCCCTGGGGGCTCCGGGTGGAGGGCGAGCGGGTTTGGGTTGGCATAGGAGCGCAGAGGGAGGCGACACCCCGGCCCCAGCCGCTGCCCTGCGCCACGTGGCCGCTCCCCTGGCTGTTGCTAAGGTCTGGGAGTTCGGGGGGCACACAGGCCTGGCGGGTCCCGCACCCCCACTCTCACCGCGCGGCCCAGCCTGGCTCCATTCTCTTGGTGCTCGCACTGCATTGGCAAGGAAGGCCCCTGGGGCTGGAGGGGCAGGGCAGGCCGGGCCCCTGGCCTTTGAAGGGTGGTCCTTTGGGATCTCCCCCCCTCCCCGCCCGCCCCCGCCCCGCGGCGAGGGTGGTTGTCTCCGCGTGGGAGCAGCGCCCCCTGCAGAGGCGACGTCCTCGCCGAGTGGAGGTCCCCGAGCGCGCGGGCATTAGTCCATTCACTGCGACTCCCTGAGCCCCGGGGCGGCCCTGACACGCCAGCCACCGAATCTATGAATGGGGAGAGGGAGAGAAGCCGCGTCTGCCTCCACTCCTCGCCCCTCCCCCGCCTCCCTCCAGGCCGAGCGAGCCAGATACAAAGTGACAAGGGGCCGGGGGGGGGGGGCACTGCGGGGGCGTGCAAGAGGGGTGCAAGTCTGGCTGGAGACAGCACTATTTATATACTCCCGAGCTCCAGGACAAAGAGTCCCCCGCCCCCCAGCCCCAGAGCCTCCCCGGCCCCCTCCCCGGTGGCTTTGATTCCATTAACCCCCCCCCCCCCCGGGGGCGGGCTGGCAGGTGCGGGGGTGGGAGCCGTCTCCGCGGGAGCAGCCTTGCCAAAGGTCCGGCTGCTGACGTCGGAGAGCGCCCGCTCCTGTCAATGAAGGCAGCGGCAGCCTGGGGACGGTCTGGCAACGAGGCTACAGACGTCATCGCCTCCTGTTGGACGCGGGGGGTGTCCGAGCAGCGGCTCCGGCTTAAAGGAAAACTCTCCAAGTTCCAGGCAGCCGCGGAGAGTCGTTCCTGAGAGCCCAGGCACCCCCAGATGCCCAGTGTGCGCGGCACACGGGCTGGCACACGCGCGCGCGCACACACACACGCACACACACGCGCGCACACTCGCACTCCTGTTCTGCATAGATGTGTGGGTCCAAACTTGCGGCAGCACCGAGAGAATGGGCTGAGATGGACCGGTCCTCCTTGGCGCCTGGAGGGCTCAGCGCGGCTTCCCTCGACACCCCCAGATGGAAGGGAGGGAAAGAAGACCGTGACACCCCGTTTAGAGTTGTCCCCCCCTTTTCTGAGAAGATCGGCGCGAAAGCCGGGGTGCCCGAAGCCTTTGGAATATGCCTGCTTGGCGGAGCCGAAGCGAGCGTTCTTGGAGAGGTCCCGAACTTGGGCCACCGGCCTCGCCTGGCAACTCGGTTTGCGCAGTTTTCGTCGGAGCCCTGGACCCGCCGCGCTCCCGCCCGGCCGGCTGGCGCCGCCACCCCCACCTTTTCCCTCTTCCTTTTTCAAAGGCACGAACTTGAAATGAAGCGGAGACCAGGTCCGCGCCTCAGCACACTTTGGCGGGTAAGTTGATAGTTGCTTTTACCTATTATTTAACCCTTGGGAGTCCGGAAAAACTTCATTCGAACCTTTTCCCCGACTCTCCCCCCCCCCCGCCCCCCATCATTTCCGTCCATCCTCTTTGTCAGTGAGATGGGGCGCGAGCGTGTCGTTTGGGAACACGGCTGCTCCGGGGGAGAGTGGCTCGCGGGAGGGGGGAGGACGAAGCCCGAGTCCGTAGAAGCCAGACTCAAGGCTGTGAGACTGCAGCCAACTCCGGGTGCTGAGTGATTGCCTCCGGGCCACTGCCTGGCCCGAGTTTCCAGCTCCAAGTTCCCCGCAAAGGCTGCCCTCCAGCCCCCTGATGCCAGCCTGGCAGGTGCCGGGTGAAGCGGCCAAGAGGAGCTGCTGGGGTTCCAGCACCTTCCTTCCTCCCTTCTTGGCTTCCCCCTGGAGTTCTGGATGGGGGCAAATCCCCCTCCTCCTCTCTCCATCCCTCACCTCTGCTGCCACTCTCCTCTGCCCCCCCCCCCCCCCCCCCCCCCAGTCCCTTTCTCAAAAGCCTATGTGATGTCATCGGGAGGAGGGTTCGGAACCTCCAGCACCTGAAGGCATCGCTGTATCGCACCCTGCAGCATTTGATTTTCTTCATTCCACCCAATTTTCCTTGCAGTCCATGGAAAGCACCCCCCACCAAATATCACAAACAGTGTCCCCCCTCCCACCCTACCCCCCACCCCGCTCTTTCATGAATGGACAGGGCCAGGGGTCCCAGTACAGGGAACCCCCCCTCCCCCTCCCAGATTAGGAAGAAATCAGCTGAGGGGCCCCGAGGAGCCTCTCCTCTCTGGGTGCTGAGCTCTCCTCCGCCCTCAGCTCACCCTTCTAGTGGAAAGAAGAGGAGGCAGGAGGAAGGAGAGAGCCGGCCGGTGCCAACAGCCCCCTAGACGTGGAGCTGCTCGGCTGAACGGAGGGATCTGTGCGCCAGTCCCTGCCTCCCCTGCCTCCCCTGCCTCCCCTGCCTCCCCTGCCTCCCCTGCCCTCCATCTCCCTCCCCGGTCTCTACTCCCCACCCCTTCCGTCGCGCTTGCTCCCCTCCACCTAACCCCACCTTCGCTCTCCTCTCTGAGGGGGGAGGGCCCGGGGTGAGGAAAGAAACCCCCAAAGCCCCAGTCCCGGGCAGAGATGTCGAAGAAACGCAAAGCCCTCGAGGGTGGAGGAGGTGGAGGAGAGTCCCCGAGCCCAGAGGAGGAGCCCAGTGCCCGGCCTGGGGGCCGAGGCAGCCCGGAGCAAGGTAGGGGGAGGGGGGAGGAGGAGAGGGAAGGAGGCGGCCGGGAAGCCTCTAGGAGTTGAGATCCTCTGCAGAACGCTCTAGCCCAGCTTCTCCGGCACAGCCTTCCGGGTCAAGGCAACTTGAGTAGACTTCTCTCCCCACATATGGGATTTTACTGGTGTCTTGAGGAAATTGGGGGTACGGTGGGATGAGCTGATTCAGCCGGTGCTGGAGGCCCAGACTGGGGAGAACTTGAAGCTCTGTGGAGAGCAAGGGAAGGTGGGGTGGGAGGGGAGAGGAGCAGGAGGAGGCCGGGGAGGTGTGGGTTGGGGGCTGCCGACCCTTTCCAGGTCCTCTGCCTGCCCTGCTGTCGTGGGTGCTGGTGTGACCGGCTGTCCTGTGGACGTATGGGCTGCGTGGCTGCTCGTGTTGGACACCTGTGTTGAGAGGGTGGGGTGCCAGGGCTGTCCCTGAGTGTCTGTGGCCGGTGAGGGACAGCAGGGAGGATGTCGACTTCTTCCATGCTTCTCCAATCCAGGCAGGCTGAGGGTTGCGTCATGCTGAATCCTCACCCCTGCACAGGCAGGCCCTCTGCTTTCTCCTGAAGTTGGAGGGGAGGTTTGAAGCAAATTGGGTGACGTGTTGTGATTTCGAGGAGAGATGTTGTGATGAAAGCAGTTGGGTGCTCCTCTGCCTGGAATAATAGCAAGGACAAAGTGAAGAGGGCAGTTTCCTGTGGAAACAAAAGTGATACCTGGGCGTCTGGTCCCCACAGGAAAGAAACCCAAACAGACACCTTTCATTTCACCGAAAGCAAAGCATCGGGGATTTGGAGGAAAGCAGGCCCAAAGGAGCCAGTCAAGCCGGGCTAGGCTGTCATTAAAATACAAAGGAAAGATGACCTCGGTGCAAATGTTTTGCTGTCGGTTAAGCTGTGGAAGAGGACAGGGGGCGTGACCCGAATCGAGGCAGGTGGAGGGGTTGTTTTGAGCGATGGCTTTGCTTTCCAGAACTCAGCTTTGTGGTCTTGGTCGGCGGCAGGCGCAGGTCTGAGCAGAGCACCGGGAGACATGGGCGTGTCTTCTCCCTTGACGTCATAAGAAACACAGAGTCACCAAAGTCCTTCCTGCGCACGAGACCTGAATCTCTGGGCCCACTGGGAACCTTTTGCACGGCTTGTGTGCATTTTAAAGCAGAGGTCGGGTGTTGGCCATCCCTGGACAGTGCGTCTGGGATTTAATAGAAATCGGTGAGAGCATATTGTTGTCCGCTTACCTGGAAACGGGTTGCATTTTCGTGACTGCCCATGTTTTGACTTTATTTGCTCAGTTATGATCTTAGAGCAAAAGTCAGTACGTTTCTTACATTCGTTTTGCTGGAAAACTGGCATTTGGTAAGAAATGCAAATGTGGCAAATGACTGGATCTGAATGGTCGGTGGTTTTCCGTCTTTGAGGAGAATAATTTGGTATCACCTTGGGTATCTGACAAATTCATCAGCTGTGTACCCGGCATCCGGGTTTGACCTGAGGGTTACTCTCAAAGATACATAGCATGTTCTTCTGGTGAAGCTGCTAGTGACGTCCATGGGAAATGACATCATTATCATGGCAAATAACAACACGGGGGCATTTTACAGCGTTTTACTAATTGACGAATACATGTCTTCCAGTTGTAAAAGAAATACGAGTTGTATCTTAACAGACGCGTCTCGTCCTTTTTTGTTGAAACGCATGGTTTTAGCATTTAAAAAGGTAGGCTGTGGAGGTCCTGTACTAACAGCAAATAATTTCTACATGCCTTTGCTGGGAATATTTTGCAGGTCGGGACCGGGAACAGAACGCATCCATATTACTCCGAGATTATAATAATTTTGGAATGACCTGTTCTACAGATTGGTTTTGTTTTAGGGCTTAAAAAATCTCTAATGATTTTACCGTATCCTTTGTATTTGGCAAATAAAAAATGCCACGTGATAATTGCCTGCGAGTATGTAACTGTAGAAACCATTAAGAGTGTAAACATTCAACTACTGTATTACTGTGAATGCGTTTCTTTGGGAAATGGTAGCCGGGCACACGCCCCAGGTGGGGGAAACATATCTTCTGCCTATATGGTAGAGTTTATGGCTGTGCACACCTTGACAGTGGGAGATGGGGAGGCCGGGAGAAAACGGGTGTGAGCCACGCGTGATGCGCGTGCGCTGAAATGTGCAAAGACCCTCACCCCCGTGGTTAAGGAACTGGATGTCCTCCACCTCCGCACTCAGTGCTATTCTTGTCTTTTCCTTTGGACCTCTTGGCCAAAGTTGACAGTGTGCACACGGAAGACTAGAGAAAAATATTTACATCCGTCTTGCTGACCTTGACTATCAGAAGGGGCTTCTGTTAAAAGTTTCCACAACTCGGAAGGCCAGTGTGTGTGTTCATTTTAACCATTGAGAGCATATGATATAGCATGTGGTAAGTGAAGGCGATTGGAAATTAGATTCCAGTGGTAGGCATGGATTACAAGACCATCTGTCAGCAGGGTGCATTGATCCAAAGTTTTAAATAGCTGATAAGCACGCAGGCTACCTGGAGAGAGTGTGGTGGGACCTTTGAATGTAGGAACAAACATCCATTGTGCCTTTTGCTGCCCTTACCTCTCACCGGTCTATGCCAGGTGCACATGGTTCCCAGGCCTGGCTGGGAGGTGTGGGTATTTCCCGGTTGTTGTGTTCGAATGGCTCCTGCCCCCTTGATAGTGTCTCTAAAAGAGATTCCTTATGGGGATGCAGGCAAGGTCGTAAATGGGCCATGGTGAAGGCACATGGAAGGCTTTGGTTTTCTCGCTGCCTGTGATCGCGCCATCCTATTTCATTTAGCTGAGTAAACAGGAGAAGGAAGTGCGTTGTCCTAGCGTTGGCTGAACATTTCTTTGCATGCCCATTGAAATTATTTGACATGCATGCATGCGTGTGCATTCGCACGCACATGTGCCTGGCGTGCGTGCGTGTGTGTGTGTGTGTGTGTGTGCACGCACGCACGTAAAATCACGGTCAGGATATAGTCCTCTCGTGGATCCCAGCTGGCCCTGTGTCCAACACGTGTTCGGATTATACTGATGAAAGATGTTTGCATGCGATGTTAACTTTGTAAAGTTTTGTCTTTCCAACTAAGAGAAGTTTGGTGTGCCGGTAGACAGTGCCAGCCCACAGTTTTTGTTTTACTGTGCTTGTACTTTTCTTTTTTTTTTAATTTTTTTTAACGTTTATTTATTTTTAAGACAGAGAGAGACAGAGTATGAACGGGGGAGGGTCAGAGAGAGAGGGAGACCCAGAATCCGAAGCAGGCTCCAGGCTCTGAGCAGTCAGCATAGAGCGCGACCCGGGGCTCGAACCCACGAACCGTGAGATCATGACCTGAGCTGAAGTTCGATGCCTAACCGACTGAGCCACCCAGGCGCCCTGGACTTTTCTTCGTTGCTCTGAACTTCTGTCCAAGACCACGTCCCATTGTTCAGTTAGCTGTGAAGATGATGGCTGTGTTGAAGGTTGCACGGGAAGAGTCTCTGATGAAAACACTGAATAAGTTTATTGATTGATCTCATTCCACGGGCGGATACTCTTAGTTTCCCACTCTCTTGCATTCTCTTTATGGTAGTTTCTTTCCGAGGAATTATTGTCTGCTTAGAAACTGGTTTGGCCACAGGACATTTCATCAGGCACCCTGCCCTGAGACACAGCAGGAGGCCCTGTTTGCCCAGCTTTG